TTTACAGCAATTTCTCTATTACAGGCCTCGTTTCTCAAATATAAAGAACTGAGCCAAATTTATAAAAAAAAATAAAATAAAATAAAAGCCATTCCCCAATTAATAAAGAGTCAGAGGAAATGAACAGGTTATTTTCAGAAAAAAGAAATAAATGCTATCTATAGTCATATGAAAAAATGCCCTAAATCATTATTGATTAGAGAAATGCAAAATGAAACACCTCTGAGGTATTACCTCATACCTATCAGATTGGCTAACGTGACAGAAAAGGAAAGTCGCAAATGCTAGAAGGGATATGAACACATAGGTAAATTAATACACTACTGGAATTGTAAACTAATTCAACCATTGTGGAGAACAATTTGGAATCATGCCCAAAGGGCTATAAAACTGTGCATATTCTTTGACACAACAATACCATTATTAGGTCTGTATCCCAAAGAGATTTAAAGAAAAGGAAAAGGACCTGCATGTACAAAAGTAATTATAGCAGCTCTTTTTTTCTGGTGGCAAAGAATTAGAAATTGAGGGGATGCCCATCAATAGAGGAATGGCTGAACAAATTGTTATATATTATTGTGATGGAATATTATTGTGCTGTAAAAAATGATGGGGGGGTGGTTTCAAAAAAACATAGCAAGATCTATATGAACTGATGCAGAGTGAAGTGAGCAAAACCAAGAGATCATTGTACACAGTAACAGCTATATTGTAATGTTGATCAACTGTCAAAGACTTAGCTACTCTGATCAACACAATGATCTAAGACAATTCCAAAGGACTCATGATGAAAAAATGCTATGCCCCTCCAGAGAGAGAGAACCAATTAACTCTGAGTGCAAATTGAAGTATATATTGTTATTTTCTTTATTTTTCTTGCTTTTTGTCTCCTGGCTAATACGGAAATATGCTTTGCATGATTTCACAGATATAATCCATATATTGCTAGCATTCTCAATGATAGGGGAGGGGCTGGAGGGGTGGAGAGAATTTGGAACTCAAAAAAAATTTAAAGAATTTTAAAATTAATTAATTGATTTTTTAAAAGGTGATAGCTGCTACCAATTGCCCTGATGACAGATATCTGCCATCTTCCCACTCCAAGGCTGCCTATAGATAGGAGAGAAGCAAGAAGTGGGCCCTCTGCTCTATTGCTAAGGAAGTCATCTGACTAAAAGTCCTACAAATTTTCCCCAGCATCTTATCGTAGCAAAGATTTCTCTATTCATCCTGCCACCTGTCCCCTTCATACCACCTACGCTACCTTGATCCAACAATCTTCTCTCTCTCTCTCTCTCTCATCTCACATAGACTCAATATCTCTCTGCTCATAAACATTAGTTCCCTTAATTCTACAGAAACTTTCCCTTGATGCTTCTCCCTTATCTAGTTACATTTACTTTCATTTATTGTGAAACTTTTGAAAAAAGCTGTCTACACTTACTGCCTTCATGTCCTCCCTAACGCTTGTCTCCTGAGGCCCCTGCAACTAGGCTTCCATCAACATCAGCCTACCGATGCTGCTCAGTCCTCCTGGACTACTCAGACCTTCCTTCTGGCTACCCTGCTCTTTGGATGTCCAATAAGAAGCCCAAACACAGCATCCCCAATGTGTCAATAGCTTTCCCTCCAAAGCCCTTCTCCTCTTACCAGCTTTTCCACTGCTGATACACCTCATTTATTGTGCTTCACAGATGTTGTGGCTTCCACAAATTGGAGGTTTGTGGCCACCCTACATCCAGGAAGTCTATCAACACCATTTTCCCAACAAAACACGCTCTCATCGTGTCTGGCACAGTGATCTGTGATCAGTGATCTTTGATGTTACTATTGTAATTATTTTTGAGTTACAGAATCATGGCCCTATAAACAGCTCATACAAAACTTAATAGATCCCAAGAGGTTCCCCATCTTTTTCCCTTTCCTCCAACCTCCCTGTTCCCTGAGACACAACAATATTGAAATTAGGCCACTTAATAACGCTACAATGGCCTCTACCTGATCAAGTGAAAAGAAGAGTCAATGAATGTTGCAAATTTCATTGTTGTCTTACTTTAAGAAATTGCCGGGCAGCTGGGGGGCACAGTGAATAGAGCACTGGCCCTGAAGTCAGGAGGACCTGAGTTCAAATCCAGACTCAGACCAAACGCTTGGCACTTACTAGCTGTGTGACCCTGGGCAAGTCACTTAACCCCAACAGCCAAAAAAATAAAAAGTTTTAGGGGCAGCTAGGTGGCACAGCAGATAGAGCTCCAGCTTTGGAGGCAGGAGGACCTGAGTTCAAATTTGGCCTCAGACACTTGAAACTTACTAGCTGTGTGATCCTGGGCAAGTCACTTACCCCTGATTGCCTCACACATACACACAAAAAAATTGACTTTTTGGGGCAGCTAGGTGGCGTAGTGGATAGAGCTCTGGCCTTGAAGTCAGGAGGACCTGAGTTCAAATCTGGTTTCAGACACACAACACGCAACACGTAGTAGCTGTGTGACCCTGGGGTAAGTCACTTAACCCCAATTGCCTAGCAAAAAGCAAAAAAAACCACCCCAAAACCAAAGAAATTGCCACAGCCACCCCAGCCTTCAGCAGTCACCACCCTGAACAGTCAGCTGCCACTCACATCTAGGCAAGACCCTCCATCAGCAAAAAAATTATCACTCACTGAAGGCTCAAATGATGGTTAGCACTTTTTTCAGCAACACAGTATTTTTAATGTACATTTTAAAACATTAAGTTTTGTTTTTGCTTTTTGAGAGGCAATTGCGGTCAAGTGACTTGCCCGGGGTCAAAGAGCTAGTAAGTGTCACTCTGAGACTAGATTTGAACTCCAAGGTTGGTGTTCTATCCACTGCACCCCTAGTTGTCCCTAGGAGTACTTTTTTTTTGTACATAAGACTATTGCACACTTACTAGACTACAGCAAAGTGTAAACATAACTTTTGTATGCACTGGGAAAGCAAGAGATTCACGTGACTGACTTTATTGCAGCACTCACTTTATTGCAGTGGTCTGCAGCCCAACCCACAATATCTCCAGGGTGTGCCTGTACCATGGGGCCACCACCATCCTCCCAGTCACCTAGGTTCACAACCTCAGCGTCTTTCCGGACCTGTCTGTCTCTATCTCCCCACCTTGTCAATCCCTGGACAAAATGTGTTGATTCTACCCCAATAAAGCATCTCAGTTCCACCTCCTTCTCTCCGTCCTGAGAGCCACCAGCTTATTTCAGGCTCTTATCACCTCTGGACTATTACAATAACCTTCTAATTGGTCCCTCTACCACAAGTCTCCCTGCTTCAATCCATCCTCCATGAAGTTTGACCATGTCCCTCCCCTCCCTCCCCTGCTCCTCTCCCATGGCTTTCTCTTACCTCCAGGATCAAATATAAAGCCCCTCATTGGCACTGAAGGCTCTTCATGACCTGGCCCCTTCCTACCTTTCCAGTCTTCTCACACTTCACTTTCCCTCACACACTCAGAGACCCAGCAACACTGGCTTCCCTTCTGTTCCCAAGCCACCATCTTCCGTCCTCGTACCCTTGCACTAGCTGGGCCCCATGTTGGGAATGTTCCCCTTCTTCCTTCTTTCTCAGGACATCCCTGGCTTCCTTCAAGACTCAGCTACGATGACGTCTTCCACAGGAGGCCTGTCCCAGTCTCTGCACCTACATGGGCCTCCCCCTCCCGGGTTGCATTCCTTCCACTCAGTCATATGGAACATGTAGCTATGTTAACTAGTTACTTCTACGTTGCCTCTTGTGCAGTAAGTTCCTGGAAGCCAAGAGCTGCTTGTGGTTTCTTTGTATCCCCAGCCTGGCGCAGGGTGAAAACTTAAGAAATGCTTATTGACTGACTGACATGGTCAGTCGATCATGACACTTTCCTGGTCCTCCCACCCCCATTCCTCTAGCTATTCTTCTGTCTCTGTCGTATTTATATGCTAGCGCTGTGCTTTCCTCTCTCCCCCTTCCGTCCCCTCCTATCTCCTTTCCTCTCTTCTCCTCCCCTCTCCACTCCCCTCCTCTTCCCTCCCCTCCTCTCCCCTCCCCTCCCCTCCCCTCTCTTCCCCTCCCCTCCGGTCTCCTTTTCTCTCCTCTCCTCTCCCCTTTTCTCCTCTCCTTTCCTCTCTCCCCCTCCCCTTCTCTCCCATCCCCTCCTCTCTCCTTCCCTCCCCTCCCCTCCTCTCACCTCACCCCTCCTCTCTGCACTCTCTCCCTTGGCAATCCCCCTCATACCCAGCCTCTCTGCCTCTGATTCCCAGAGCTACATCCCTGCCCCCACTCTTAGCCAGAGGCTTTAGCTTGCCGTTTGCATACTTGAGATGACCCACAGCCTCCTCAGACTCATCAGGTCTCAAACCAAACTTGTTCTCCTTCCTCCTGGACAGATTTCTACTCCCTCTGCTGACCCATCTCTGCCTGAAACATCTCCCCGTTTGTCCTAAATAGTTCTTCTGGCCCGCTGCACCCAACTGCTCCTTCTGAGCTTGGATCCAAACCTGTCCCTTTTAAATAAACTCTGACGTGCTCCTGGGGTCCCAAGAGCACCCAGAGGGAATAAGGGAAAGAGGGGATAGAGACCAGACTTGGGGACAGGGGCAGGAGGACAGGACTGTGGCCAATCTCTGGGCCCCCAGAGCCACCTGGAGGCCTCAAGGAGAATGACCTGGAGCCATGTGGGTCAGCTCCCTGGCCCAGTTCTGAGAAGGAGCCCCTCCCCCCCATCCAGTGAGGCCTCAGGCTGGGTGGGGCTGTAGCCCTCATGGGCTCTCTCTCTTCTGAGAGTCTCAGGGGTTCTTTCTTTAGTGAGAAGTGAGGGGGCTGAGTTGTGTTCTTCCCATCACCATAAGGGGGGAAGGGTCAGTCAAGACTCCCCAGTTTGGGAGGTAGACCTAGAAGGAGCAGGGGTCCTAGGGAGCCACAGCAACCTCCAGAGCTGCCTGGGTGCTAGCACCCCGTGGCCCTGCACTATCCCCCCTGCGGCAGTGCCTCAGAAACAGGCAGGATCACACCAAGCAGATAGTTTATTGAGGGCCCCTTGGGCCAGGCCTGGATATACAGCATGGGGGGAGGGGGCAGATACACTCGCACTAGACAGCTGTGAGTGGGCCAGTAGCGGCAAAGCAACGGTGTGGTCAGGCACAGCAGGGCCAGGGAGATGCTGAGGGACCCCCTCCCCTAGGCTCTGCAGGGGGGGCCCTTCTGTCTCCCATGGGCTCAGGAAGGAGCAGGGAAGGCCCTTCCTGTGTCTCCCAGGCTCTGATAGGGGCAGAGAACACCCACATGTCTCCTGGGCTGATTGAGGGGCAAAGAATCCCTCCACCTACCTCCTGGACTCCCCAAGGGGTCGGACAGGGAACATCCTTTCTGTATCTTCTGGGTTCTAGGGGAACCAAGAATCCCCTCTATGTCTCCTGGGCTCTATGGGAGCGTAGAACCCCTTCTGTTGTTCCTGGTCTTGGAAGGGGCTGAGACACCCACTCCTTGGGGTGTGCCCTGAGCCTAGCCTAGCTGGGCAGAGCAGGATGGGGAGGACAGCTAGCTAATCCCTCTAGAGTCTCCATAAAAAGTAAAACTCCTTTAGAAATAAATGGTGAGGGGAGCTGAGGAGGAATTCCTTTGGGGAACAGAGTCATCTCAGACAGAAGAGTGCCCTACCAGAGCCCCCAGTTCTGACCAAGGGCTAGCGGAAGGGCAGAGGCAGACAAGAGGAGAGACAGAGGTAAAGAAGGAGAGACACAGAGCAAGAGAGAAATACGCCAAGAGGGTAGCTAAAGAGAAAAAGACACATGTGGAGAGAGACGTAAAGAGAAAGGAAGAGACGCAGAAAGAGGGAGAGACTCAGAGAGGCACAGAGAGGGGGAGAGACAGACACAGAGAGAGATAGCCAGAGATAAGGGAAGGATATGGAAAGGGGAGGTCTCAAGTGATTCCTGGATCTGCTCAGGGCCCCCATTCCCCCAGGGAGAAGGCCAGTGTCTCCCCCTTAATGTGCCCTGGGTGGGAAGGGGAAAGGGATAAGGACCAGAGTTCCCAGGGCAGCCTCAGAGATCTCTAAGCACATAAGGTCACTCCCTCCTCCTGTGTCCCCAGGGGAGGAGACGGGCCCAGGCAGGACTACTCCAGGTAAATGTCTTCTGTGGGGCACGCATATTCCAGGTGTTCTTGATAATATTCCAGGAAGGCTCGACTGGGAGAAAAGCAGGACAGGACAAGAGAAGGGTGTGTCAGAGTAGAGGTAGGAGTCCAGGAACATGAGCAGGCAAGGGCACCTCCTGGGTCATGTGCTTCCCCAAGCTCAACCCAACCGTCTTCCCCCAACTCTCCATCCCCACCCCAATTCTCCCACCTCTTCACTCTAACCCTTGGGTGCCCCAGCCCCTTCTCCATGCACCCCCTACTCACCCCACACTCTGGGCAACAGGTCGCATGGACTCTTGGGAGACAAACACATGGCAAGCAAAGCGGCTGAGAACTGGGTGTTTGGTGATGAAACCAAAATAGCTGTGGAGGAAGGGCCAATGAGGGGAAGGTGGGAGGGAAGATGTGGACAGGGCACTTCTGTGGTGCCCCTTCTCCCCTCCCTTTCTAGGCCAGTCACTGGGGCTTCCAAGGAAAATGCTCCTGTGATGACGGACTGTCCCAATCTTCATTCCCATGACCCATCAGAGGCTGTCATCCTCCAGACATGTCAATATCCACCTTGATGACTGTCCCCATAGTCTATCCTCAGTGGCTCAAAGTCAGTCACTCTTGTGATCTCTGTCTCTACTTCAAGGGGTGGGGAGGTGTCGGGGAGGGGAAATGTCACACTAAGGACCTCACCATCATTCACAATGGTTCATCCTGAATACTGAAATTCCTCTCTGACCACAATATCATGCCCTTCCATTTCTTACCCCTTACTCCTCAAATACATTTCCCTACCTTCATCATTCATTGCCTTTGGGACTTCAATTTTCTCCTATTGTTCCATCCTATTAACCCTGGCCTGTTTTCACTTCCTTCCCTCTGTAGCTGGACCCCATGGTCAATGATTCCAATAATGCCCTCTTTTCTACATTTGAAGCCCTTGATCTCTTGACCTTATATCCTGATAACCTTCAGCATTGCATATCTTCCCTGCCACCTCTCTCCACTCCACTTCTACTCCAGAAATTGGGGGTGAAAATCATGAAACCATGTTATCAACTTCAGCTGGGCCCTCACCACCATACAGCAAACCTTTCACTCACCTCTGAATGACTGTTAAATTCCTCAGATGGCTACTTCAAATTCTCCCCTTTCCCCAAGTTCCTAACTTCATGCTTTCTCCCCTTACTCCCAGAGATTTTATCTGCTTTAGTGAGGAAATTAGAGTCTATCTAATATGAACTACTTTGACTGGTCTTTTCCTCTTAGCCTCTCAATGTCCTCCCATGGGTCCTTCCTTCAAACCCTGAAGTCTCAGAGGAAGATACAGCCCTCCTCACCAAAGGTACCACCTCCACTTGTACCCTTCATTCTAACTCTCCCATGACCTTGCTCCAACAGACAATGAGAGACAGACAGAGGCAGAAATAGAGAAGGGAGGGAGAGGAGAGAGAGACAGAGACAGACAGGGAGGGAGAGAGAGAGAGACAGAGAAGAAGAAGAAGAAGAAGGAGAAGAAGAAGAAGAAGAAGAAGAAGAAGAAGAAGAAGAAGAAGAAGAAGAAGAAGAAGAAGAAGAAGAAGAAGAAAGGAGAAAGAGACAGAGGGACTCAGGTCTCCCCATTCTTAAAAAAAAAACCAAAACACTAACAACCTTCTCGAGAGCCTACCACACCCTCAAGGATAGCCTGAGGCACCTATTTTCATCTCTTTCTCTTGTTTCACTGCCCAACTCCTAGAAATAATACAACTCTGTACTTACTTATTCAACATTTACTGACTCCTCAAAGTCAATCTGACTATGGTTCCCCCATCATTCTACTGAAACAGTTCTCTCCAAGTAAATGAATGGCTTCTTTATTACTAATTACTTTATTACTTCTTTATTACTTTATTACAAACAGTCTTCTTTCTATCCTCAGCCTTGCCCTCTCTATGGAATGCAGCCATTGACCACCTCCTCCTTCTTAATTCCTTCTCTTCCTTTGGCTTTCATGATGGGGCACCCTTATCTTTTTTTAAATTTTTTTTAGGCAGTTGGGGTTAAGTGACTTGCCCAGCTAGTAAGTGTCAAGTTTTTGGTCTGAGATCAGTTTTGAAGTCAGGTCCTCCTGACTTCAGGACTGGTGCTCTATCCACTGTGCCACCAAGCTGCCCCTAGGGGCACCCTTATCTTAATGTTGGCTTTCTCTATCTCTTATTCCTCCTTCTCTTTAAATGGGGCCACTCCCAAAGACTGATATTTGGGTCTCTTCTTTTCTCCTTTTTTTAATAATCCCTTCTTTGACTAGTTTATCCTCTCACCTGGCTGTAATTATCACTTCTTTGCAGATGATTTCCCAATCTACATAGTCTCTCCCCAGAGTTCTGTCCTATATTTCCAGCTGCCTCCTGGACATACCCATCTGAGAGTCTCACTGACAGTTCAAGCTTAACATGTCCAAAACAGCCCTCATCATCTTCACCCACCTCCTCTAAGTCCATTATGGACACCAGTGTTTCCCCAGTCTCATAACTCTACGGACTGTCTTTTTTCTTCTTCCTCTCCTTCGTCCTACAAAGAAGTCAAGTCTAGCCATTGCAACCCCTTTCACATTCATCTCTTCCTCCTCAAATCCATAGAATCATAAAATTTCAGAACTGGAAGTGATCTCAGAGGCCATATAGTGCAATCTGATTCAAGTGAGCTTCCCTTCACCATCATCCCTGACAAGTGATCATTCAGTTTTTGCTGGAATATCACCCATAACAGTGAACTTCATTCCTCCTGAGGCTACCTGTTCTTGAAACAGCTGTTAGGAAAACCACTAATCTGCCTTGCCCTACCTATCACAACTGCAGAATCTCAGGGTTAGAAAGGACCTCAGAACCTACCTAGTCCAAAGAGGAATCCTCGCTATATTGTCCCCAGTATGTGTCTCTCATCTAATACCCAACTCCTTCATTCCCAGCCCCTCTAAACTCCTCCTTCATCCCCAACTACTCTAAACTCCTGCTCTCCATCCTCAGACAGTTTGTCCCTCAGGTGAGATTTTCTCATGCTCTCCTTGAGGACAAAATGGAGAGGCTTTAGCTAGATACTAATTCAAACAGGTGTATTCAGAACCAAAGGATTGATCTCAAAGAGTAGTGACTTGGAATACCCTCAGGGATATAACTTCAGCTCTCTGCTGTTTAAAATATTTAACCAATTACTTGGCGATGGTGAAGTCACAGTGTCCAGTCTTCACATTATACAAAGCTTAGAGGGATGGACAAATATGTCAGATGACAATAATGCTCCAAAAAGGTCTTGACAGACTAGAACAATGTACTAACTCTATTAAGGTGAAAATAAATAGGTCAAGTCTTACTCTTGGGTTCAAAAAATTAACTGCACAAATACCACATGGAGGGAATTGTGGCTAAATAACAGTTCATCTGGAAAAAACTCGGGGAAGGGGCTTTAGTGGACTGAAAATTCAAAATGAGTCAATAGTGATGCACAAGTTTGATGCACAAACCCTGATGCAATGTTAACCTGAATTAAGAGAGAAATAAGTAGAGAGACATCATGGAGGGAATCATCCTGCTGTGTTCCTCCCTGCTCACACCATACAGAAAACTGTCTCATGCCAAGAGTGCCTCCCTTTTACGGGGGACATTGACAAACTGGAGCATGTCCAGAAGAGGGTAACTGGGATTCTGAGGTAAGCAGAGATCACGCCACATGACAATCAAGTGAAGGAACCGGTGACACTCAGTTTGAAGAAAAGACGTGGAGGGATGGAGGAGAGCTGTCCTCAGGTATGAGAAGTATGATCATATAACATGAGAACTGTTCTGCATGGCCCCAGAGGGCAGAACTCAGGGAAAAGAGTGGCAGTTGCAGACAGGTAGCTTTTAGTTCGATATCAGGGCCAACCACTTAAAAATTAGAGCCGTCCAGAACTGATATAGGCTACTCTGGGTGATGGGGGTGCCCCAACCCTGCCCTTGGATTCTCCCTTCCCATATCTTGCAGTATCTCCTCTCCACTGGCTCCTTCCCCTCTACCTTCTCACATGCTCAGGTCTTAATCTAAGCCTAAAATTAAAGAAATAGAATAGAATAGAATAGAATAGAATAGAATAGAATAGAAAGAATAGAATAGAATAGAATAGAATAGAATAGAATAGAATAGAATAGAATAGAATAATAGAATATAACGTTAAAGCCTTCCTTTGACCCTGCTGCCCTCTTGTGGGTCATCTCAGTAATAACAGCATTTATATAGCACTTTGAGGTTTACAAAGCACTATGGATCTCACTAGACCTTCACAACACTAGGAAGTAGGTGCTATTATTCCCATTTTACACATGGGAGAAACTGAGGCTGAAAGAGTATAAGTGGCTTGCCCAGAGTAACACAGCTAGTAAAGTGTCTGAGGAAATACTTAAATTCAGGGCTAACCGACTGCAGGCCCAACATTCTACTGATTTCTCCACCTAGCTGCCCCTTGTCTGTCTCTGGGAAAGGATGAGGACCCAAGTCTGATAGAAATGTGCAGCTGCTCCATTACTTTGTAGTCCTGGCAGAGAACAGGGTGAATATTTGGAAGAGGAGTAGCACATTCTGCAGGGTGACAGAGGGAGAGCCATTAGCTTTGGGGAAGAGAAAGGATACTTAATCACCTGAGGCTAAAGGAAGCAGGAGAGGCCAGGTAGCTCTTCAGCCAGGTGAGGAGCCCTCCATGAGCTGTGACAGTTCAGCACCTCTGTGGTCACTGTGCCTGCTCACCTTTCTCTCCTCCCCCCTCAGACACTACTTCCCCAAAGGCTCATCTACACCCAAAGACTTCCATTCTTTACCATCTCTTCAGTTTCTCCTTCTCTCTCCCATTGGGTTTTCAATGGTCACTAAACTCAATGACCTCTTTGAACCCAGATTTCTCTGACGCTTTTGGCAGTGTAAACCCCCTCCCTCTAGGGCACTCTCCTTACACACACACACACACACACACACACACACTCATTCCAGCTCTCATCTGTAGCACATAGGGGAAACAGCCTCTTCACATACATTCATAGATGCCATATAGACAATGTATCAGGCATGTGGGAGTCTAAGGGACACGCAAGGGTCCTCTAGGATGTGCACCAAAGCCCACAGAGGGCCTGAGATTCACAAGTATATCTGAGGCCCATAAAGGCACTCTAGAGTACATCCACATGAGGCTATGTGGAGCTTCATGGGAGCACACAGGGACGCATGAGGTCATAGGCCTCCAGGGTAAACAATCCATGGCAGGATGGAGGGGCCACAACACCAGCAGAGGCACACAGGGATGATCTAGGAGGCTGTGGAGCACATGGGAGCATGTGGCAAACACAGGGTCATGTGGAAGCCCACGGGATCCCACAGGAGCATACATGGGTAATACACGGCAAAATGGGAGCACGTGGGAAATGGAACACAGGAGGGTCTCACCAGCTGTTTCGGGGGTGGCAGCCACAGAATGAAATGTTCTTCATCTGGAAGAAGTGACTGCAGCGCTCAAACTGGAACAGCAGAGAATTGGGGAGGAAAGTCTAGTAGGGGCCGGCTAAGGAATTCTGGGGGCCATCCCCATTCAATACCACTGGCCTCAAGATCACTTTAAAATCAGAGGACCATAAAATATAGCTATGATGGAATTTAGAGGTCATCTAGACCCACCCCCACCCCTTACCTCCCACCTCCCACCCTCCCCTTCCCTCCCCCCACACACCCATTTTAAAGGGAAGGTAACTTTGTCTATAGGTTGAGTGACTCAGCCAAGGTCAAACAGGCAGTAATGTATTGTTATCCAACCCAACTCCTTTCACTACCCATTCCATGGTTTCTCCACTGAATCATGCTGCTTTCTACCCTGTCTTCCCATCTCAAACACCCAGGTCTGCCCCACCTTGACTCCTCACCTCAGGCCCACCCCCGCTCAGACTCAGCTTGACCCCTCGAAGGGAGATCTGGAGGTCACAGGAGGCTGGAGGACGAAGATGGACAGTCAGCTTCCGAGCTGTGGCAATCTGGAGAGGAAGAGCTGGGGGTCACAGGGGCTCAGAGTGTGACAGAGTTTGCCTTTTCCCTTAATTTGAATCATGTTTATGTCACTTTCAGGATGTTTATAAGCAAACAGTCTTGGGAAAGTGATGGGAAACACCATCTGGAAGCATCCCATTACAAAGGGCAAAGGGGCCTCAGGGTCCATCGGACTCCCATCTCTACAAAAAAGTTCAAAGTTGGAGGTACTCCTCAGAAGGAAAACAGGAACGGAGTGGTTGGGCAAAGGAGGGCACTGAGTCCAGGAAAGATGGTCCCTTGAAAGGGTGGGGCTACTGCTCAGCCTAGGCCCTGGGGAAAGGAAAGACCTCTTTGAGCAGGGCCGACATCTGTCTCTGTAGCAATGGGGCTGGAGGCCCTGCTCCTATTGCTCCTGCCTGTACCTATCAAAACTGTGTATTTTGGGGGTTGGAAGGCTGCATAAGTCACTTAATCAGACTCCCCTTTTAACCTCCAGCCCCATCTCAGACAAGACTTAAAGTGCAACCAGGGCTGGGGCTGCCCAGGGGTGGGAAGGGTCTGGGAGTCACAGCAGGTCAGGCCTGGGGGAGGTGGCCAAGCTGGAGACAGACAACTTGGCATGACACAGCCTCTGCCTTCTCCATTCCTGGGCTAGGTGAGTCTCTGGCCGAGTCTCTAGCTGCCCAGCCCCTCCTCCCTCACCTTCTGCATAGCTGCACACAGGATCCCGTTGCCCTGGTGACAGGGCACCTCCACAGAGCCTAGAAACTGCACGTTAAAACGTTCCACCCAGCACGGGCTCCGCTTTCCCCCTGCAGAATCAGAGCAGGAATGACCGTGGGGCAGGCACCAGGAGATTCTGCTCCTCACCTTGCCTGCCCCTCCACCACAAGGCCCCTATGGAAGAAAAGACAGCCAATGCCATGACATCTGGAGTCGGAATCCCCCATGCTCTTAGGGCCTGAGCCAATACACACCAAGGCCCAGAGAAGTGGGGGTCAGTGCCAGGGCCTGGGTTGGGCCTGGGGACTGGGGAAGAGATGGGGCCAGTATTGGAGTGAGGACTTGGGTCAGGGCCTGGTCTGAGACCTACCCAGCAGGTCCTTGGTGGGGCCAGGAACAGCGTGGGCATAGAAGGCTGGGAAGATGCCCCGCTCTCCTGTCCTCATGTTAAAGCCTCGAAACCAGAAGTCATCCTCCTCAGCCTCCACCAGAACAGGGTCGTCCACATCAAGTTCCAGCTCATCGGCATGTCTTGGGATGAACCTGAGGCCAGGGGCAGAGGTCGTCACCTACGACTGGAGGGGTCAGTCAATCCAGGGCAAGGGGCAGAGGTTACCCAGGCCCGAAGGGGTCAGTCAATCCAGGGCAAGGGGCAGAGGTCGTCACCTACGACTGGAGGGGTCAGTCAATCCAGGGCAAGGGGCAGAGGTTACCCAGGCCCGAAGGGGTCAGTCAATCCAGGGCAAGGGGCAGAAGTCACCAAGGGCTGAGAGGGTCTGTCAACATAGGTCAAAGGACAGGGGTTACCCAGGACTGGAGGGGCAGAGGTCACCTAGGACTGAAGGAGTCAGTAAACCCAGGGCAAGGGGCAGAGGTCACCAAGGGCTGGAGGAGTAAGCCAAGCCAGGTCAAAGGTCAGCGGCCACCAAAGGTGGTGAGAGAGAGGAGCCTGATACCTGAACACAGCTCGATGGGTTTGCTCTCTCTCCTCCCCATTGATCACGCAGGAGAAAAGCCCGAAGGACTCTGTACCTAAGTAAGAACAGGAGAGAGACAGAGGGTGGGGGGAGGGAGGGAGAGACAGACAGAGAGATGGGGTGGGGGAGGGGCTAAGAGAGAGGAAGGCCACCAAGGGATGGGCCCCCAGAAATTAAGTGTAGTCCCCTTCCTCCGGGCCTCAGCGCCGCGGTCCGGGGAGGGGGTCCATAGGAGTAACCAGATTTGCTAATGAGTTCGATACTGACACCCCCTCGGGCTCCACTCTTCTCCCCGGGTTTTCCTTCTCCCCGGCCCTTCCTCCTCCCGGGCCCATGCCCTAATCTTAGGTGCGACTGATACTGCTGAGCACTTTGCTCCCGGACTGCTCTCCTTTGGGAGGAGACCGACCTTCCCAGGTCCCGGCGCCTCCAGGCCCAGCCCAGCCCCGTCCCCCTCCCCCTCCCCAGGGCACCCCAGCCCCCCCCCCCCCGGGCTCTTACTGGAGGAGCGGGATGTGCTGTTGACGAAGACGTTGAGGAACTTCTTGGAGAAGGTGAGGTCGGGACTGTCCGGGCTGTCTGGGGAGGCTGCCCCGCTACGGCTGCCTAGTAACAGGGCTCGGGCTCCCGGAGTCCCGGGCCCCGGCGGGGAGCCCGCGTCCTCACTGCCGCTGTCGCTGCCGCTGTCGCTGGCCGGGCTGTCGTGGCTGAGACCTGAGGCGCAGCGCCGCAGGCTCACCAGCTCCAGCTGCGTGTGCTCGTCCACCACGAGCGTGTATTTCACCGCGTCGTACACCAAAGATGCGTCTCGCGCTGCTGCTGGGCTCGGCCCCAGGCCCAGCCCGCGCGGGGCCGCCACCCCCGTGGCCTCCTCGTCTTCCTCTTCGTCTCCTTCCTCTTCGTCCTCGTCTTCCTCCTCATCCTCCTCCTCGTCCTCCTCGTCCTCCTCCTCTTCCTTCGAGCAGGCAGCCGAGCAGGCGCGGCTGGCGCGGGCGGCCCGGCCTGGCGCGCCCCACACGGGAGTGATTGTATCCCGCGTGGGGTTGCTGAGGAAGAGGAATGGCCCAGGCTGGGCTGGCGGGGGCCGCGCCGGGGCTAGGGGCCTGCCTGGGGGCTGCAGGGCACCTCCCCCACCGCCGCCGCCGCTGCCTCCACCTCCACCTCCGCACAGAGTTTCCATGTCCACCAACTCCAGCTCAATGCTAGCAGGTGCCCCCGGGGAGCGCTGAGGCTCCCGCTCCTCCTCGTCCTCCTCCTCTTCCTCTTCTTCTTCCTCTTCCTCTTCTTCTGTGTCCTCGAAGGCCAAGCCTGGCCCCGAGCGGCCCCCGCGACCCCCACCGTCCGGAACACGGCCTAACTCCGAGGCGGAGACCGAAGCGGACGTGGGGGAGATGGTGTCACTAGGGGAGGGCGGCGCGGGCAGCGCAGCTGCGGGGGCTGAGGCTGAGGCCGGAGGCGGGTGTCCGGGCCCAGGGGACAGGCACTGAGCCGGGCAGCTGATGGGCGACGAGCCCTCGGAGATGAGGCGGCTCACCAGGTTGCTGAGCAGCCACGGAGAGTCAGCGTCTTCGCTCACGTCGGGCTCCGACTCAGAGCCCGACTCATACTCGCTGTTGGCCTCGTCTGGCCCGGCAGGCGGTCCGGCCCCGGCCCCTCCCGGGCCCACGGGCAGATAGGCGGGCCGCCGCAGGCTGCCGGGAGACTCGGAGGGCGCGGACAACGCGGGTGGCTCGGGAAGTCGCGGGGAAGGCGCCAGGCCGGCCCCGGGGCACCCGGGCTCCAGCCGGGGCTCGGCCTCGTGCTCGGGCTCAGCCTCGGGCTCGGGCTCAGAGGCGGGAGACGAAGCCTCTTCAATAGAGTTGGTGAGATGGGAAGAACGGCCGCTGCTGCTGCCTCCGTCGCTGCTCAGGTCGAGCTCCGTTTCGGAGATGGAGGAGATCATGTGACCCAGGCTTCGGCCTCCAGAGCCGAGCCCCCGCGGCCGCCAGCTCCCCTTCAGCGTCCTCGGAGTCCGAGCCAGAGGCCGAGCCCGAGCCCGGCGAGGACAGCTCCTGACTGCTCCGAAGGCCCCGGCCCCTGCCCCGACCCCGGCTCCTGCTCCGGCTCCCGCTGGAGTGGCTGCGCAAGTCGGCCTCGATGCCCGGGTCCGAGGAGGGCGAAGAGCCGCCGGGAGCAGGCGGGGGCCCAGTGGACGCCTCAGACCCCTCTCCTGGCCGATTCCCTTCGCAGTCGTAGTCACTGGGGGGCCCACACTGTTCCTCACGGTGCCCATCTGCGGTGCAAACATGAGGCCCCCGATGTGCTGCAAGGAGGAGGGTGGGGCAGTAAGAGCCCCAACCCTGGCCCCCCAGCGCAAGCACACACACACACACACACACACACACACACACAACCAGCTCTTTCCATCAGTTTAACAGATCCTCTCCACCCACTGTCAACCCCGCCCCCCAACCTCTCAGGCCCTCTATTTACAACTCCCCAATTCCCCTTTCATTCACAGCTCCCCCAGCCCCCTTCATTCACAGCCTCCCAGCCCCCTTCATTCATAGCTCCCCATCTCCCTTCCCCAGTCGCCTTCATTCACAGCTCCCCAATTCCCTTTCGTTTACAGCTCCCTTGGCCCTAGTTCACCTGCCATCCCCCTAAATGGACCCCCAGGCTTGGGGCTGCACCCCAGGAGTTCCACATCTCCCTTCATTTCCTGAGACCCTCTCTCTTTCTCTGTGCCTCATTCCTAATCCTTCCTTCCCCTCTCTCACCATTGTGGGACTCCTCTGGGGGTGAGGGCAGCAGGGTCTCCTGCCAAGTGGCTGGAGGAGGAGAGCAGCCCCCGTTGTTGTTCAAAGAGTCCTGGGGGGGAGGGGTCAGGGTGAAGTAAATGTGTTAAAGATGAGGGAGACAACAGGACAGACTCACCAGGGTTAAATTCATCCTCCCCAAGTTGGGTTTCAAGCTCCTGTCCCATGGGCAGACCCCCTCCCAAATTCCCCTCCTTTTTCCACACAGAGCAACATCTCCCTAGCATGCAGAAAGCCTGTGAAGGCTACAGGCCACACTGGAGGACAGGGGAACTGGCCCTACTCTTAGAGTCTCACCTGGGTCCCAAGTGAGGTAAGGTTCAGGGTGGTGGGACGAGGTTTCTGGGGCTCTTGGGCAGAAGGAGATGGGATGAGGGGTGGTGATGGGGGTGCTTCATGCCTGTGGCCCCCTTCTACCTCCCCTTCCCCATCCTCCTCCTCTTCCTCCTCTTCATTCTCATCAATCATCTCAAACTCCTGAAAATCATCCTGGAAGGAGCAGATAGGGTGCGGGTGTTCTGAGCGTCCCAGAGAGAGGCTGTCCTGGATGGAGACAGAAACCCAAAGATGAAGAAAAGAGACCCAGAGATGGACAGGGACAGAGACCAAGAGGAGGACAAAGACTGAGAGGTGGGGAGCGATGAAGACCTAGCAAAGGGGAAGACAGACAGCCAAGTATGGAGAAGACAGGAACCCAGAGACAGTGAAGTCATGAAGACAAGGGCACTGTAGCAGCTGAAACAGAATTCGATTAAAAACCAGCAGACCAGAAGAATGGGCCTCAGCTGAGTAAGGCCACAAGACTAGTTTGCCCAGTGAAGAGATTAAAGGCCAGGCTCAGGCCACTTTGTACTGAACTGTCATGCCATCTCCAAGTGCCACATTTTGGGGAGAGCTTTGACAATCTGGGACTAACCAGGGCAATGAGGGCCATCTAGTTCTTGCCAGATAAGATTCCACTGAAGGGACTGGGGATATTTTGTGTGGAGAAGGGAAGGCTGGGGGGGCAGGGTACAGCAGAGATGCTGTCTTCATGTTTTTGAAGAGCTTCATTTGTAAAAGGGATTAAGAGTCATAGTAAGACTGAGAGATGGCTTTGGAGCCAGGAGGGCTGGAGTCTCTTTAGGTCCTGCCTCTGACATACTGGATGTGTGTGTGTGTGTGTGTGTGTGTGTGTGTGTGTGTGTGTGTGTGAGAGAGAGAGAAGAGAGAGAGAGAGAGAGACACCCTGGGAGAGTCACCTGATTTCTCAGACCTCTAATCAGCTCTCTAAGGCTGAGTTGCAGAGGTGCTGAGTTGCCCAAGTGTCCTCACCCAGGAGTTCTCTAAATCAATGAAATGGCAGGTCCAGTTCCTTTCTCTGTCCAAGCTGAACCAGAAGCAATGGGAGGGCTTTGCCAGGAGTTAAATTTAGACTCAATGCAAAGAAAAACAACCCAACAGTGGGAGCTGTCCCAGAGTGGGAAGGGCTGCCTAGGGCAGTGGTGGGTTCCTTCTCCCTGGAGATCTTCAGGCTCTTTGCTGGTTGGTCACCTGTCTGGTTTGTTATAGAGGAGCTCTTTGGTTAGGAAGGGGATGTACCATGGATCCTCTGGGAACTCTTTCACCTCCAGATTCTGTGATTGTGTTGGGCCTAGGTTGGGATTGCTGGAGACATGAGGAGCCACAGCACGAACAAGCACCCTTAGGGATGTCTCAACAGGAGGGTATCCAGCAGCAAGAGGGAAGAAGGTTAGGCCCTGATAGGATTTCCATATTAAGAGACTGAGAGGAGCCCAAAGGTTCCCCATCTCCAAATTACCCAACAACAGACACTACAGAAGAACAGAATAGCAAAAGCCTGAACCCAGCCCCTTCCTACTACACCCCATCTGTCCTGCATGGGCTCCCATGCATACCAATGCTTCATTCACACACCCTACCCCTGACAGCCCCACCTCTTCCCCACCTTCTCACAAGGGTCCGAATCATAGTTGAGACCAATGCCGCAGTCATCGGTGATCTCGGAAAGGTCTTCATCATCAAATTCTTCCAGGCTGATGTCCTGGGGAGGCCTGAGGGGGCATAGGGATGAGGGATACTATAAGGACCACTTTCCCACCTTAACCCCATTTCTTGATCCCTAAGAGGGTCCTGCTGAAGTAGAGGGCACTGTTTCAAAGCAAGCAATGCTGGAGTGGAGCTGGGACACTGCTGAGCTGCCCACCTCCCCTGCTCTCCTGAGCTACTGAATGGGGGAGGGGGCAGGGAACATGAGCCCCCAGGATACTGTTCTTCTTTACCTTTCAGGTCCCCTGAGAAGAGGGTTTTTCCAGAGACTAAAGTAGGGGAGAAGCATTATGAGAAGCAGGAAGGTCTGGGTTCGTCTTGCTTCTAACCTGTTCTGGCTGTGTGACCCTGGGCAAGTCCCCTAACCCCTACAATACTCCCAGGTAATCCTCTAAAAGGATACTGTTATAATAAGTCTTATTATAAAACTGTAAGAAGAGTTGTTGGAAGGTTTGGAGAGAGATAGGAGAGGAGAGGAGAGGAGAGGAGAGGAGGAAAGGGGAGGCAATAAACAAACCCGTAGAGTTTAGGCCTCTTATTTGGCCCAACTAGGCCTCCAGGTTCCAAAATTCCTTACACTCTTCCCAGCAAATAGCCCTCAGACACCTACGTTCACATTTCCTTTTTTCCCTACCCCAATGCTAATTCTACTCATAGCCACTGATTTCAGGATGGTGACTGTGCCCTCGGAGAAGTGTCCAACTAGAACCTTGTTTCAGATGAATCCTTGAGAGATCTCAGCAATAATGGAAGGTCATTTCAACACACACACACACACACACACACACACACACACACACACACACCCCAACTTCAGCGCCCCCAGAGCACCTGAATCTGACCTACAGGCTCCCCTTAGCACCCCTACCAGGCCTCTATGGAGAGCTGACCTCCATCCCCCTGTTCTCCCCATATTAATCAAATGTACTTCATGACATTTGACAAATATTTTTGAATCCAGTTTCCTCCATTATAAATTCATATTTGCATAACTTTAGCTGAGTCTTTACTCCTGCATGGCAATCCCTTTCATTCAACTTGTATTGTCTCCTATTACACTTTCCTCTGCCATGGTTCCCATCCATCTCCTCCTGAAGGACCCAGTACAACCTCTGCCCCCTCTGCCTCAGTGGACAGAATATGTCAGGTTTTCAAAAGTTTGAGGCCATCTACTGAGAGCTACCTTGATCCTATTCCAGAGAGTGAATAAAGTGTTGGACCTGGATTCAGAAACACCAGCTTCAAATCCAGATGCAGACACTTAGCAGCTAGTCTTCCATTTCACATCCCCGAATGTTGTTGCACCCAAGAGGTCTGTCCTGAGTCACATTCTCTTCCCTCTCTACTCTCTTGCCCACCCTCCTTTGTGATCTCATCCACTCTCCTGGCTCCAGCTGTCATCTCTACACAGAAGACTCCCAAATTTGTACCTTCAGCCCTGCACTCTCTCCTGAGCTACAGCCCTGCTTGGTCCACTGCGTGATAGACATCTCCACCTGGATATCCCACAAGTGACTCAGACCAACATGTCCCAAACCAACCTTTCCCCCAGGCCCTGTTCCTTCTCCCAAAGTTGTCATTTCTATTAAGGGAACTATCATCTTCCTAGGCACCCAGACTTAGAACCTCATTGTCACCCCTTTTCTCAGCTGCATCTCTAATCAGCTGTCAAACCTTACTGTTTTCTACTTCCCCACGCTTTCTGTCTCTCTCCAAACCTTCCAACAACTCTTCCTATAGTTTTATAATAAGACTTGTTATAACTCAGTATCATTTTAGAGGATTACATGGGAGCATTGCAGGGGTTAGGTGACTTGCCCAGGGTCACATATCTCCGTATCCACCCATCCATCTTTTCTTCCCCATCACACAAGCAGCGCCCGAATTCAGACCCTCATTACCTTTCCCCTGGATTATTGCCAGAACCTCCTAACTGGTCTCTCTGTTTCCAGTCTCTCCCCTGTCTCCAATCTGTCCTGATCATATTATCAGATTATTTTCTCTTATGTAGATCATCCTCTGCCCCGAACCATTCAGTGACTCCCAAATGCCAATGGAATGCTTTTTTTCTGATTTAAAGTCTTCTGCAAGCTGACACAGCTTTTCCTTTCCAGCCTTACCTTCAGCCTCTCTCCGAGGGCTCTCTCAACTGGAGGGCTCTCTGTGGCCTGGCACACATTTCATGCCTTCCCATTTCCATGCCTTTGCAACATCTCATCTGCCTGAAATGCTACGCCCCTTCTCCATCTGCATTTGGTGAAATCCTATCCACCTTTAAAGGCTCAGCTCAAATGCCACCTCCTCCAGGTGGCCTTCTCTGATACCCTCCCCTGAGGCCCAGTTGGTAACATGCTTTCCCAGAGCATTCTCAGAGCACTGGGCTTATTCCTCCCTTTCTGATGCCTTTTTTCTGTATGAGCTTGTGCTACAGTTGCTCATGTTTTCCTCTTAGGCTGACTGTGAACCCCCCTCCACCCCCTACAAGGGCAAAGCCCAGGCCTCACTGGTCTTTGTCTCCCTGCCAGTGCCTAGCTCTGCTGCAATTGGCACAAATAAGGGCTTCATCAATTCGATGAATGGTAGGGATCTACTGTGTCCTTGACTGCCACGTACCAGTGCCGTGGCTCTCCAAGGGCTCACCTTAGCCCTGCAACAAAGGCCCTCGAAGGCCCCACCTCCTGGAATCCCCAGCTTCCCTCAGTCAGTCACCCCTCCACCTAGCAGACTGATCCCACACCAGCACCAGAATTTTGACTCCCCCAGGGCAGGACAGAGCGGAGTAGGACTAGGCCAGCTCCCATACATTGGTGCCTGCCTAAAGGTCTGGGTTAGGACAGGGACCCCTCTCCTCTCTGTTCCCTATCTTCAGTCCTATCCCACAACCCCACCCTTCCCCAGGGGAGCTTTGCTGAGCTGGAAAGTTGGGGGGGGGGTGCCGGGACTGGTGCTGCAGCAGTTGATGGGGAGGAGAGAAGGGGTGGAGCATAATGGAAGGAGCAAGGCCCTGTTTGTCGCCCTCCCCCAGGTATCCTACCCCTCCCCAAGGACTCCATTTCTCTTCCCTAGACTACTCCCCTGGCTCCACCCCTAACTTCAGTTCTGGCCCAGGCCCCAGGCCCCATCCCCCATCCCCCATCCTCCCTATCCCCCTCCTCCAAACTCTTCCACAGACTCTGTCCCCTTTCCTTAGGCCCTAGACCCCAGCCTTTTACTCAGGCTCCATTACCCTTCGATGACCAGGCCCAGCAGGCTGGGCCTGCAGGGGTAGAAGGATGTCGCAGGTCTGGGACCTAGGGACAATCGCCCTAGGCCCAAGACTGTGGCCTCTCATTTCGGGGCCAACTTCAGGGGATGAAGGGTCCAGGCCCGAGAAGGACAGTGTAGGTCTGATAAGAAATCGGGAGACTGGAGGAGTTGGGGGAGGGGCAGGAGGCCTGGAACCAGAGAGCAGCTGAACAGTTGGTCAGAGGATGGGGGACAGAGGGTGGGAGATCAAAGGTGGGGTGGCAGGGGGTGGAGAAATCAGAGGATTGGGGGGGGCGCCAGGAAAGGAGGTTGCAAGGGAGCCACAGCATGGGGAAGAAATGGTGAGAAACCAAAGGATAAGGGACCAGGAGATGGGGGCGGGAGAGGGGCCAGGGGAAGGAGTAAATGAGTAAACGAGGAGGGGGCAGGGTAGTGACCTGGAGAAGGCCGGAAAGGAGGGGGGGTGGAAGGGGTCGCCGGAGAGGGTGCGGGAACCAACCGCGGTCTGGGTGCCCCAGGTGCCTACCTGCCTCCCGGCGGTGACAGGGAGTGGAAGGTAGAGAGAGAAAACATCTCCGCCCGATCCGCCATCTTCTCCCGGGGAAAAGCTGCCCGACTGCGGAGATGGGGGGAGGGGTGGACGGCACCGCCAGCCCCCGCCCCAGCTCCCTCGCTCGCCGCTCGCCCCCCCACTGTCCGGTGAGCCCCACGCACCCCGCGACCGCAGCCGCTGCCCGCGACACCCGGAGCAGATATCGCGGCTGCACAGGCGGCAGTGCCGCAGGGGGAGGGGGAGGGAGGGGCAGGATGGAATGGGGGAGGAGGTGAGATGAGGGGGGAGGGGAGCCTGGCCAGGAAGCTGGTTGGTGGATGCGAGACCCAGGGGATCCGGTGCAGATGAGGGGATCGGGTGTAGGGGAATCAGGCAGGGCAGCGGTGTGGGGGCGAGGATCGAGTAGTCAAAGGATGCTGAAGAGCCATCCGGTTAGGGACGGATGATGTCGTAAGGAAGAGGAAGAGGGGCTGCTGGGTAGAGGCGCGCAGCTGCAGGGGAGCAAACAGGGCCGGGGTCCAAGGTCTCAAGGGACCAGGGGGATGAGGGAGCCAGCGGTAGCACAGACTGACTGATCGTTCGGTCTTGAGGATGTTGGGGAATCGGCCAAGAGTGCAAAGCTGCAGCTGCTGTAGAGCTGTCCGCGACTAAGCTGAGATGGAGCTGTCCATGAAGAGGGTTCTGATGGCGCCGACACCTAGCTGTAGATCCTCAGAGAATTAATGGGAACTGCCTCTGAAGAGGACATTGCAGGACAGAGACGAAGCTGTCCATTCCAAGGTCCTGGTGGGGTTGGAAAAGAGCTGTCCATGAAGAAAGTGTTGAGTGTGCTGGGCCAGAGCTGTAGATCCATGAAGACCCTGGCGGTCTGAGACACAATTGTTCATCCTTTGGGTACTGCTGTGGCTGAAGTGGAGCTGTCCATGAATACGGTACCGACGGGTTGGAACGTTGTCCATCCTTTGGTTTCTGCTGGGACTGGAACGGACCTGGAATTGGGGCTGGGACTAAGCTGCCCATCCTCCTATGAATCTTTATGTTTTAAGCATGTTGCTTGTAAACAACAAATTGTTGGATTTTGCTGCCTGACTCATTCTGTCGTTCTCCATTTTATGGGCAAGTTCATCCCCTGCACATACAATTACGATTATTAGCTGTTTGTTTTTTATCCCCTCTCCATCATATAGCCTCACACTTTAAAAGAGAAAAAATAAGGGAGGAGAGGTCATATAAGCACAAGTTATCTGGAACTGGAGCAGTATTACTCTGGATCCTGCCCTCTCTTCCACTGCCAGGATCTCTGTCTGTCTATCTGTCTCTCTCTCTCTCTCCCTTCTGCAATCACCCCACCAGCTTCTTCCTGATTATACTTATTTTGCTGATGACTATCCCTAACTCTACCTCCTACCTTCTTTCTTAAACCCTTCTCTTGCATCTCCTTGTTCCCAGCTCAGTCCCCTGTTTATTTAATTCCATTTCTATACTATACACTTCCTCCATGGCCCCTTTTCAGGCCCACATAAGAGTTATGCCTTAAATTCCCTACTCTCCCACCCAAAATTCCATGTTTTTATATTTGTTTTCTTAGGGATACATCAGTTATCTAAAATGATGAGTTCCTCCATCCTCTTATCCATTCTGTCCCTATGATGTTCCTACAATAAAAAAATAATGACCAAGACCTAATCTTTCTGTCTTTATTCTCTTATTGTCCTTCAAAGAATTGGGGGAGTAGCTTCTGAAAATGTGATAGTTTCTTCCTCACCATTCAACATGCATGTCCAGATCTTTATTTAGTCCTTTTGAGCCTGAATTCTCCATCCTGAAGACAATGATGGGTGAGAGGTAAAGTTATCCATACAAGGGATGCTCCAATGTGTTAGAAGGAGTACTAGGCTTGGCATTAGAAAATCTAGGTTCAGATCCTGCATCTGCTACTGGTGTGACCTTGGGCAAATCATTTGGTGTCTTTGTGCCTCTATTTTCTCATCTGCAATATAAGGGCGTTGGCTTGGATGGCCTCCAAGGTCCCTTCCAGTTTCCAAAATATATGGTCATATGATGGAGCTTTAATAGAGCTGTCTGTTCTGAAAGCAGTAATGGAGTTGGAGCAGATGCTGGTGACTCAGGAACGGGCCTTCCTCTCCCAAGCATGTCGGCATGACTAAGTCAGTGTTGTCTATGCAGAGTGAACCGTGGGGCTGGGCCAATGTTCAGTATCCAACTGGGACCGAGTCAATGCCAGTGCTCAGATGAAACAACATATATAAAGTGCTTTGCAAACCTTAAAGAGCTGTGTAAATGCTAACTGTTAACAATAATGATGACAGTGATGAGGATAGTGTTATTATTATCATCATTAGATTTATTATTATTATTATTATTCAGAAGACACTGGTGGGACTGTCATGATGCATTTATCCTAAAAGTACTGATGGAGCTGAAACAAACCTGTTCATCCTTTGTACATATTCATCTATTCCAAAAACATTTATTATACTCCTCTTGTTTGCAGAGCACTATGATGAGTTCTAGGGGGAAATACAAAGTTTAGATAAGATATGGCTCCTCCCCTTATGGAACCTGTAGTCTAGAAAAGGGATAAAATATCAATGCTGATAACTGTAGGACACAGTAAAACATAATAAGAACATTTGAGTGTTAGAGAACCGAAGATATGTGAGTTCTGAGAAAGATGGTCATTACTGACTGACAGGATTAGGGAGGTTTTCATAGGGGCATAGTGCCTGACATATAACAGAAACTTAACAAAACTTATGCTGTTTGATTGATGAAATTAGGATTGGGGTTAGGAGAAAATGTCACTGGAGCTGGGTTTCAAAGGATGGAAAGGAATTCAACAAGAGAAGGGGGAGGAAGGACATTTCAGTCATGAAGAACAGCCTAAAATAAGGTGGGAAAAGGCACCGTCCATCTGTGGGGCAGAAAGAAGTTTAGCTAAGTAAATGGGAGTGACATGAGATAAGTTTGGAAAATAGAGGTGGCATCAAATTGTGGGGGGCCTTTTGTTCTGGGCAGATGAGTTTAGGGATGGCGCAGAATGAAGGGAGCCAGAGCCTTTCTGACCCTGGAAGCAGTGAGATCTGGAGAATGATTTGTGACCCACCCCCTGCCCAGGATATCTCCCCAAATTCCCTAAACAGACCTCTGCTCCAGGACTGGAGCCAAACAGCTGAGTTCTCTTCTTCTTCTCTCACCCCAAGGCAAAGCTGAAACAGCTGCTCTCTTATCCTTGGCCTCTCCTTTACTCAAGGGGACAACAGCACTGGGCTCTTAGCTGTTGCCAGGACTCCGCTGGGTGGAGTTTTCAGATCTGTGAAACCAGAGGGGCCTCCAAGGAGCAAAGCCATGGCTCTCATCAACAGAGGAAGGGAACCTTTCCCAGCCCTTGTCCTATACCCCTGAGTCCCAAAAAGGAATCTGGTCCCAATTTATGGAAAACAGAAACACCCCCCCACCAACACACACACACACACACACACACACACACACACACACACACACACCACCTATCTCTTGTCTCCAGACAATGGTAGGCCCCATTCCATTGTAAACATGCCCCCATCATCATTCCCTAAAGTCTATCCCTTTTCTAATTCAGTTCCTCTTCCAATCTCAATGATCTCTATCTCATGCTTGTGCTCTCTCTCTCTCTCTCCCTCTCTCTCTCTTTTTCCCCTTGGGAACATGGCTTATTTATTGACACCCTCCCTGGCCTAGCTGAAGAGGAAAAGAAAAGGAGGTAATTGTAATGCAATATTTGGAAATGAATATGAGAGTGTCTCTGTGGTACATAGAGCCCACAGCTCCCCTAAAGGACAGAGAGGCCATGGCCCCTCCAAAGGGTCTAGAGATCCCCTGTAGCTTTTCCCTAAGAACTTGATATCCCCTAGCAATTTTTCCTGGTTTCCTCCTTACAATAAAATGCGTCCCCAACATGGTTCTCAGGTGATGGATAAGACCCCAGGCTTGACAAACCATCAAATCACAGAATCTCAGAGCTAGACTTGACCTCAGCAGACATTTAGTCCAACCTATATCCGAAGAGGAAGCCAGACTACAATATCCTCAATAACTGATTATCAAAATTCCACCTGAATACAGCCAATGACAGGGAACTCACAACCTCAAGAAGGTGTCTGTTCCATTTGGGGTTAGCTTTCATCGCTGATAACTTTTTCTTTATCTTGAATCTAAACCTTTCTCCCTATATTTTCTACCCTAGTTCTACTTTCTGAGGCTACCAAAGCAAGCTTTATCCTTCTATGCTTCTTTGGTTTCATTTCCAAGATACATAAGAAACTAATTCCAATTTATGAGACTAGGAGCCACTCCCCAACTAATAAATGGTCAAAGGTCTTGAGCAGACAGTTGTCAAGGGAAGAAATTCAAGCTATTAGCAGTCATAGAAAAATGTCCCAAATCACCAATAAGTAGAGAAATGTGAATGAAAACAACTCTGAGGTTCTACCTCACATCTGTCAGATTGGCAAAGATGGCAAAAAAGGAAAATGACAAATGTTGGCGAGTTTGCAGGAGAACAAGTACACCAGTGCAGTGCTATGGATTGGTCTAGCCTTTCCAGAAAACAATTTGGAACTCTGCCCAAAAAGTTGCTAAACTGTGAATGACCTGGATGATTCAATAGTACCACTAGTAGGCTTATATCTAGAGACAGAAGTATTTGGTAGCACAGTAAATAGAGCTCTGGACCTGGATTCAGAAGACCTGAGTTCAAATCTAACCTCAGACACTAACTGTTTGATCCTGGGCAAGACTTAACCTCTGTTTGCCTCAGTTTCCTCAACTATTAAATGGAGGTGAAAATAATACCTACCTTGCAGGGTTGTTTTAAGGACCAAATGAGATAACATTTGTTCAAAAATAAAAGCATTTAGCACAGTCCCTGGAACATAGTAGGCACTCATAAAAATACACACAAACTACCTCCATAAGGAAATAGTTGTCATAGTCAAAATCCAGTGAAAGGATTTGGAAAAACCTGGAAAGCAATACCTGAGTCAACCACCAAGTGGTGATCAAAGCCTGAATACTTCCCCACAATGGACACCAGCTGCTTCAGCCCTTCACGTTCCATGGGAAAACACCATTTATCCTTTAGACATGTTTCTATTTCCAGGGTTCTAATTTAAGGGAACATTTATAATTAAAGTATTTTAAAATATACCAATTGCTACAATTATATTGGCTCTGCCCCTACTCCTTGGAATAGTTTGCACTTTTACTTACTTTCCCATATGTGCCTAATAATTGAGTCAGACATACCACACAGAAATCGCTGCAGTTTTAAGAGGCATTAAATTAAAGTAAAAGAGACAAATTCTTTTACTTCTCCACCAAGATAGGTATCCCTGCCTCTTTGTTTTTTTTTTCTCCTCCCATCCACTCTTCCATGCTGGGAATATCTCCACGTACTCTCATGACTTACAGAGTATAGTGGTGAAGGAGAAGTTTCTCTCAGCATTCTTAAGTATAAGAGAAGGTAGGGAAGTAATTGTCTTATACCCAAGTAGGATTCAGGGTAGCTTGCCATCTATGGGAGGCTCTGGGTGTGGCTAACTCCTTGTGCCAGATTCACTCCCATACTGTCCTGGCATTACTTCCTCTAGCCATGATGATGGTATCTTGATTCTTCCAAAAGACCATCAATTATAGTTCTCCCCTCTTTATAGTATTATCTGTCACAGAGAGGATTAGGACTTCAAGGAAGTCCCTTGATGGCAGAAAGTTCTCAGCCGCTTCTCCATCTCCTTCACCTTCCAGTCTCCTCCTGTGCCCAGGTTACATGTCTATTAATTCATTCAAAGATCATGAAAGCTTTCTTGGCTACTACTTCATACTTCAGACTCCTGACGAACTGCTCTTTAGTGAAACTTTCAGATCTGTTTCCTCTGAACTCTCTACTCACACCCTCTTCTATTTGGCATTTATAAAGTTAGGATTTTACATTTATCTCTACAGAATTTAATCCTATGAGATTTCACCCAATTTTCATATCTATAGAGATCTTTTTAGATCTTGATTCCATCATGCAACATGTCAGCTGTCCATCCTATTGAGCATCCATTTCATTTGTGCATTATTTCATAAGCATGCCATCTATACCTCCACCTACTGAGTCAATCAATAAACATTGATTAAGTACCTACTATGTGCCAGGCAATGTATTAAGTGCTAGGGATACAAAGAGGCAAAAGACAGTCCCTGCTCCCAAGAAGCTCACTATTTAATGGGAGTGACTACAAGCAAACAAATTTCTATAAATAAGCTATATACAGGATAAAAAAAGAGAAATACTTAAAAGACAGAAGGTACTAGAATTAAGAGGGTTGGGAAAGAAGATGGGATTTTAATTGGTAACTAAATGAAACCAGGAAAGCCAGTATGAAGAGGGAGGGCATTCCAGGCATGGGAGGACAGCCTAAGAAAATTCTCAGAGCCAGGAGATGGAGTATCTTGTTTCTGGAACAGCCAGGAGACCAACACCCTAGATCAAGGAGCAAACATCAGGGAATGAAGCATAAGAACACTGGGAAGGTAAGAGGGAGATTATAAAAGGCCTTAATGTCAAAAAACAAAAAGAATTTTGTAGCTTGTAAAAATGTTAAACAGATAAGAAAATTGAGGCTCAGAATTATTTAGTGTATAAGTGGTCAAAGAATATAAACAAATAGTTCTGAAAAGGATTGCAAACCACAAACAAAAGGGAAAAAATCCTACAAATCACTAATATGAGAAATGGGGGGGGGAAGAGGTTTTCATATTATGCCCAGAAATTTGTCAAAGGTGATAATTGATGGAAACAATCAATGTTGGAAGGACTGGGGAAAGATAGGCATACAACGCTGGTGTAGCAGTGAATTACTCCAACCATTCTAGAAAGCAAATTGGAATTAT